ATATATATATATATAGAATTTCTTTAAATAAAATTCAAATTTTAATTTCGAATATTTATATAATTAAATATACGAATCATTCAAATTTTTGCATATTAGAATAAAAGTTTTCTATGATAACAATACTGAACTTATATTCCTTAGCTAGTGCATTCTACACATTTCTCAGAAGACTAGAGCTCTTTTTAAGGATACCTCCCCCTCTCTTTTTTGACACTTGCTGGTTCTCGAAGATAGTACAACCGATCAAGCTGAAATTTTTAGCACAGATAGAGCACTAAAAATAAAGAGATACGCGTCCAAGGAAAAAAAAACTTTTAAATAACTTTTGTGGGATTTTCCAGAAAACTCTGGTTTTTCAGAGGTTCGCATCCTGACACATTACGACCCCCCTTAAAGTTTGTCTGATTGGGCTGAAATTTTGTTTATAGATGCCTAACACTATTCCCCAGAGGAAAATTTAAGAATTTCCAAAAATCTCACTTTTGTTTTTTTTTTTTTATAAGAGAAATACGCCCAGATTTGAGTTTGTACTTCAGATCTTGACTTTCACGACCCAGTAACTCTGAGCAGGAACGTCAAAAATGAAAACACTTGATTTTACCTCTGGAGAATACTTCGAAGTATTAATCGTGAACTTTTCAGCTCGATCGGATAAACTAAAAAGGAGGGTCGTAAGCAGTCAAGCTCTAGAAAATCGCTGTTTTACAGAACGCTAAATAAAAGAAAAAAAATTTACATACGATTACTATGAAAAAAAAATTTTCTCGATCTAATAAATAGGTAAAAGTAAGATATTTCGAGTCGAATAATGTCTCTAGCTGCACATGGTACCTCACGCTATCATATCTTGGTCTCAGCTCAAAATCGAGTTTTGGGTCAAAAAAGAGGGGGGTACCTTAAATAGAATTCAAGTATTGGTAGGAAAACTAAACATCCTTCTAATCATCTTCTACTTACCTCAATAAGGTTTATATTCTTAATTTTTTTCTTATTTAGAAAACAACGACGATTATTAATCAATAACAATACATTCATTGATTTAATTCTGTTTTTTTTTTTGTAAAATATTGGTTAACAAAGTACGCTTGAATTTATACATTTTCAAAAAAAAAAAATATCATTTGAATAAATAAATTACTTTTTTTTCATTTTTTTTTTTTTGTATGTCAAATATCATAATGTATATAAAGAACCAAAAAGATCACTCATTCATTAGGGGTTTTCAAATATTGAGCAGCAAGAATTAAAGAAAAAGAAATAAAACTACAAAAAGAAAAGAAAAAAAAAAGAACAGGGTCTGGCTAAAACCAGTAGAAAACATGCTTTACTTAGCAGAGAAATCTACTGTAAAACACAATGGAAAAAAAATATATACAGTGAAATACAGAAGAATAAATAATCATTCCCTATTTTAATAACGTAACGCAGATGCAATTATATCTTTTTGATCTCTAGAAAGTGTATCAGGAAATTTAATATCAAATTTTACAATAAGATCACCACGAGTTGTGGGTTGTTTCGTATAGGGTAGACCATCACCGGTTAATCGTTTTTCAGTTGTTGGTTTAATAACTTCATTCAATTGCAGTTTCCGCACACGACCTGATTCAAGTGTTGGAACATTGATTGTCGTTCCACATAAAGCCTTCAAGGAAAAAAAACAACAACAAATGAATATATATATGTTGATATTTTTAT